CTACGCTATTTTACGCAGCGGAGCCTCTTTGTTTATTTTACGTGAAGAGCTCTGGGGATCTGGTGCCTATTGCTATCCAGCTGTTCCAACAACCCAGCATGACCAACCCAATATGGACTACTAGAGACTCATATTATGATTGGCTGCTGGCAAAAATGTGGCTCCGCAACGCTGACAATCAAGTACATCAGGTCAGTAAACAATGATGAATGCAAGTTGTTATATCTCCCAACTCAAATACATTTTCTGATTGAAGGGAACGTGTAAAATGTTTGACTCGCACATGATCAGATCATGCTCTTTGAAACAGCTTCAAATTTGTGTGCCAGCTAGCGTAAAGCAACGATTTTTTCGCAGTGTTTTTGTTTTTTGTCTCGCGGAAACAAAACTCACTTTTTCGCTTGGGGCAGTCATTAAGTGCTTATTATTCGTTTCTTTGCAAAGGCCAGAAAATAAATTCCTAATTCAATTTACTATTTGATTAATTAATCTCTCTAATAAATGGTAAATTCAACCGTAGTATTTTGTTAATTTTTACAGATGGGGACTCACTTATCCAAAACTCATTTGCTTATGGAAGCGTTTGCTGTTGCCACATGGCGTCAGCTGCCATCAATCCATCCAGTCTTCCAACTTCTGTTTTCTCATCTCCGCTATGTCATGGCCATTAACACCTTGGGAAGAAATGAACTGATTGCACAAGGAGGTATCGTGGACAAGACTCTTAGCATAGGAGGTGGAGGTCACATTCAACTGCTAGAAAAGACGTACAAGAATTTCAAATTTGAGATGCTCTCTTTGCCAGACATGTTGAAGAAGAAAGGTGTTGATGATGTTGAGAAGTTGCCAAATTATTATTACAGGTAAGCTTCTGAGTGATTTTGCCTAATCCTTCGTAGACAAAGTATAAAATTGTACAGTTAGCTTTATTTTTTGACGCAAAACTGGCCGCGATGCTCTCAAGGTCGACACCCACTCGGGGACATGTTGCAAGGACACGATGCAGTGACATCGAACATGCGTACTTGGGTTCAAACGAAGTCCCCTAATGTGTGCCAAACTGTATGTTTTGCGAGGAGCATCTTTGTAAATATAAGTACCGGGCCGGACAAGAGACCAATAATTTTTCGTTTGAAACTTCTTTCTGTGCAAGCATTCTAATCGGCTAACAATAAGCAAATATAGAAGGAATTAGATGCCTAGTTTTATCACTTCCTTTGCGAAACACAGTTAAACACAAATGTTCTATTACGTCCCCCACGGGGGCGGGGGGACATTTCTCCTCGAGACAAAGTGAGGAGAAATGGATAAGAGTTTAATAAGAGGAAAGCTTATTATTTCGGATGTGGCTGAACATAGATAAGTTTTAAAGCAATCAGAGAGAATATTAAATAAATCCTGGAGATTGAAAACTTTAAAACATAGGGAACACATTAGGCTATTTATCAAACAATGTCATTTCCTGCTTGGCTCAATATCTTGGATTTGCATAGGGGAGAGAGCCTTGGGAGAGATGGGGGCTTGCTAAAATATTGAAATCCTGAATTAAGGACTTATTCATCATTAATCAGGGGAGTTAAAATGTAGTTAAAAGAGAGGGGTGCTAATAGGGCTTATAAGTCTTAGGCATTCATCTGTGGATAAATCAAAACGATAACTAAAGTAGCTGCATGACCAATTTATTAGGGATGACGGACTTCGCTTGTGGACAGCCATCTCAGATTTCATCCAGGAATTCATCGGCATTTTCTATCAATCAGATGATGACGTATGCAAGGATTACGAAATACAGTCCTGGGTGAGAGAAATCCACGACAATGGCCTCCCTGTTAGAGAAGGTGACGTAGATCACGAGTTTCCCGACAGTTTGCAAACACTTGATCAGCTTGTTCACATCTTGGTCTGTGTTGTGTTCACATGCTCGTGTCAACACGCAGCGGTCAACTTTTCCCAGCTGGAATCAGCCTTCATACCAAATGTTCCGTCAGTCATGCGTCTGCCAGCACCCACAAGGAAAAACCAGGCGACTCTGGAGCTCATCATGAATACTCTGCCGAACAAGAGTCAAGCTGGTTGGTATATTGCTACCATGTACGTTCTGACGCGAGTATCGGAAGACGAGGTAATATGCGAAAACTACTTCAGTTATGAACCAGCTTTGATTCAGTCGAAGTGCTAACCGTCTAGACAATATTGAGCAGGAAAGTTCTAATTCTAAAAAATCTGGGCCGTGTTTTTCAAAGCCCGATTATAAGCTTACCCAGGATAAATGAAAAGTTTGATTTCAGTTTTGAGTTTGAATAATCTCAAACTACACATAACATGAGTCTTGAAACACATTTTTCTACAAGAAAAATGAGTACCTCAGTCAACTTGGGTTAGCATTAACCGGATATCGAACAACCCGGCCCTGAACTCTGAAGTGATCTAGAAAACTCCTGAAAAGCAACCATGAAATTTCTTCTAAGCGTCAAGAAAGGTCATTGGGGACCACAATAGCGGAGGGCGAGGCATAATCCAGAAGTTCGAGTATCGGGGATAGTCGCCCACGTACATTATCAGCCAGGGACAGACTCTGAAAGCTTGATAGTGAACATGCACTAGAAGTTGTTATTTTTCCTTGGGGGATTAAACTACATCCCTGGGCAAAACAAGCTGAGACAAAATTGAAAAACATTCTTTCATTTTCTTGTTGTATTGTCTAAATTCCTAAATATCGTTAAATGAATGGTGGTTATCCTCCTCCATTTTTTCGGTGTCGTTTTTGATAACACAAGAACTGTATCCCTCGGTTGGCATCCAGGCCAAAGCAACATTGAATGGAGGTAGGGGAGGGGGCGACTTATATGCCATGGCATCACGCGGAATTTTTTTATTTATTTTATTTATTTTACTTAAAAAAGTGGATAAAAGTGACTTAAAAGTTTTGTTCAGGTTTGTAGCAGTCTTTGTTTCACTCTCTGTTTGTTTGGTTGTTGTTATTGTTGTTGTTGTTGTTGTTGTTTTTGTAGCGTTTCATCGGAGACTACTCCCAAAGTCCCCTGATGGGCAGTGAAGTAGAAGACGCTATTTCTCGTTTCCAGTCTTCCCTCCAGAGAGTCTCTGAAGAGATCCAACAACGCAATGCATCAATGGAATTTCCTTATCCTTACTTGTTACCAGAGAGGGTGCCAAACAGTATCGCGATCTAAAAGAAAGTGTGATTAAGGTCTGTTTCTAGATCTTAGTTTTATTCCATGTAAGAGGAAAAGAAACAGTTTTCAAGTTTATGACTTACGCTAGTTTTAGGCATGCCACTCAACCAAACCAAACAGATACTTCGCATATCATAGCATGGTTAGAAAACGTAGACCAGTGAGAACAGTAAGCTATCTCCAAACAAATGGCCACGGTGCTGAACTCGAGACTAACAAGATCCAACGAATCAAGCTACTGGCAGGGTAAAGAGCTTGAAGACGAGATCTGCGGCTCACAAGACCAGTGATTAGTCTGTCGGCCAAGCTGCCTCCTTTAATTAAGGGTTACAAATTTCTATAATACTCAATAATGACAACCTGTAACTTGTTGCATTATCCCATGATTGCAAATAAACCACGTAAATCAGGTGTTAATTAAGTTATTATGTGACTGAGAAAATTACTTTATTCGCCATTTCCACTCCCCTTCAATACACCTTGTTTGCCCCCCAAAATTCTGCATAACCTTTGTTTCCCATTTCTCCCGGGTATTACAGTCGTCCCAAAATAAACTGAAGACAGTGTACGTACTTACTTACTTAGGCCCATCGCTCCTCGTCGAGCATAGGCCATCGACAACCCCTCGCCTGCGAGCTCGAAATTGGGCTTTTCGTTCACCTTCTTTCCAGTTGTATCCTATCAGCTTCAGTTCCGCATCAGTCTTCCGTCGCCAGCTGTTTCAAGGGCTTCCCCTCTTTCTCTTGCCTTGGGGATTCCACCTTAGAGCTTGCCGGGTGATGTTGCTCGGTGCTTTCCGCAGGGCGTGGCCAATCCAGCCCCATTTCCTTCTCAAAATCCGCTCACCTACCGATTATTGTTCCCCTCGCTGCCATAGCT